CAATTACCAAAGAAACAGTAAGAGATTGCTTCTCAAAATGCAACTATCATGGAGCTACCACAGAGCTATCATAGAATGTGCTGAGTTGGATCTCACTGCTCGAGACCAACTGATATTTTCTGTACTTAATGCAACTTTCTTTTTCTAATTCTGTAAGATACTTTGCACATCTTTGCAAAGGCTCCTCTCAACCACCTGGTACATACAAGACAGGAAGTGAGGGTGGTTGGGCAGGGGAATTTTAATAGTCTGAGCCCAAGACACCAGCAGCACCATAACACACATTTCAAGTTTAACAACTTCAAGAAAAAGAAGGGGAAAACCATGTCATCCCATTTCAGTCCTAAATTCAAAACCAGAAAGCTGACCAGCCAGACAGAGTGTGTGTGACTCAGCAGGCTCTGCCACACCAGTTCCAGCTGTGCCTACACCTGCTTTACCAGGGGCATTGCCCACTATCCCACTTCACAGCTCCAACCAACCACCTTCACCTGATCACCAACTCCACTGAAAAAAACACAAAAGTGACAACTTCCCCATTATCACTCTGGTTAAGGTTACACTGTCAAAAGCAGCCCCCAGCACTGGAAAAACCTGCCCCAGATTAAGTGCTGGGAAGTGTGTGGGCTTACATTAATGTCTTCTCTGTCAAAAGCATTTTTATCTTACATCATTACTCTTCACTTTTCATACTCTAAAGGAAGCCGTTTTCCTCAACCATGTAACAAAGTTCTGTCCAGTATTTTACTACCACTTAAAAAACCCTATCTTCATTAGCTGAGTTGCATACTGATAATATTTAAAAATACAAGCTGCACCTACACTCCTGTTTGGACACAAAACCAAATCAAGGCCCACATGGCCCTGACGGTTCTCTCCACATTCCCATGGCCAACTGCATTTAACAGTGGTAGAAGTTCCTCTATTTTGAGGCATGTTTTTGCACCATGGGAAGCCCCCTGCCTGCAAATCACTGCTCAGGGAACAGGAGAGCTGCAGGTGCTCTATGCACACAGCCAGGAGGAGTCCAGAGAATGTGCTGTGTTGAGGGGGGAGAGCTCAGGCTGGGTACCAAAGTGCTGTCTGACGTTTAAAGAAATAAAGCTTTGCTAAAAAGCACTGCAAAAATAACTTTTTCCAGATACTGAGCTATCCTGGAGTTTCCTCTTAAAACCAGCAAAGTAGCTGGAAGGCTCACTAACACCAGGACTTCAGCAGGGGAGCTGCCCTGCACTCACCTGACCAGCAGAAGGAACCAGAGCAGCTGGAACCACCTCCCTTCACCAGCCCAAAACCAGCCCTGCAGGGCCGAGGCTGCAGGACCAAGAGCCTGCTGGGCAACTGGCAGCTCCTCAGCAGTCAGCAAATAAACAAAATGCTCAGAAGTAGTAACAGCTCCCACTCCAGGACGTGAAAGAAGAGGGTGCTTCCCAGAGGAGCCAAGCCTTTAGCTTAGCAATACTTTGCATGCACTAAACCCAGAAGTACCCCTGAACTCAAGAGAACTGCTCAAACACACAGCTGCTGTCACATCCAGGCCCCACAGCAGCCCCTCTGCCTTTAGCTGTTCCCCAGCCACAGCTGCCTGGTGCACACAGCCCACGGAGTGGCAGAGGCCTCCCTGAGTCGCATCCAAAGCTGCAGGAGCCTTTTTGTCATTATTTCCCCGAAACAGAACACTCGTCACTGGCCAGAAACACAGCACAGCAACCTTCAACTGGAGAAGAGCTGAGCAGTTCAAACCAGCCTGTTACAAAAAGCAAAACAATTCTGGCAGCCTCAGCTGCTGCTGGGAGTCTGGCACCACACGTGACAGCAAAACCCTGTGGCTGCCCCAGGGCAGCTCCCCACCCCACAGCAGTTTAAGATTTGCTCTAACACCGCCTTAGCTTGGTGAAAACCTTCACCTTCCCCTGCCAGATTTGGTCTATGCTGGAAAACACGGCTGATCCCACACAGTCTGACCACAGGCATGGACAGCTTCACAGGGATGAGCTGCTACCTGCACACCCTCTCCAGGCAAAGGCCCCAGAGAAGCCCCTTGTGTTCCTTTATTTAGAAAGGTTTTGGTTTGGTTTTCCATGAGACAAGAGAACAGTGCACGGGTCCACCATGCACGGTCCAACTCTCTTGGTAGGAATTACACCACAACATTCTAAAGTAACGGGGTGAATTAGCAGCACAAAAGCTTAAAATAGAACAGCAGCTTTTAAAAGCTTTTTGCAAAACAAACTCTTTGTTTTCTCTTTATAAAATGTCACTTGTTCAGAAGAAAAGTCAACACATCTCAAGGAAAGGACAGCTGCTCTATTGAAAACAGGCCAATCAGTATTTTGAAGCTTTACAACTCTTTAGGACAGTGCTCTCTCGATCTCTAAGATTAGATTACAAAGATTAATTACGCAACAACAACACCACAAACTCTGCTTCTTGCACTCACTGTTTTCAGTTTTCTGCACACCCAGGGCCAGGTAAACAAACTACCCAAAAACAATCCAAAGGATCCCCCCCCAGAAGCTGGGAATACACCGTCTTAATGCCATTCCTGTCACTTACCTTGGGCATTGACATGGACACCAACAGCTACAAAAGGCAGCTGAACCCTAGTTGGGGTAGCCAAACATCCTCAAGGAGGGAAAACCTTGTGCCAGGTTCCTTTAGCCCTTGGAAAAACTCTGGTGAAAGGGCTTTCTTCACCTACCATTCCTAGTGGCAATCCTTCCTGATGGATACCCTTAGCCTGTACAGTGTAAAACCATACAAGTTAATAATAAGTGTGAAGTGTAGGGCTTAGAGGAAGCCACTTAATTAAATGGTGACAGCCTGCAGGAGTGTAAGACACTTTAGATTTCTTTAAAAACTCTGCCTAAAAGCTTATCTGCTCAATAAGTTGTTTTATTTGTCATATATTAAGACACTAAGAATAGGGTGTTTTCACCTACAAGAGCTTCTTGGTACCTGGAGTACCAGAAACCAATTTCACTTTCATTCAATTTGACACCTTCATCTTCTAAAAAGTGTCATTCTTTCCTCAGGAACAGAGCCTCAAGGGTGAGAAAATAACTATGCCCCCCTACAATTCCTCTTGACTGCCTCCTGCTCTAGAAGCTCAAACCACCACCATCGTTCTCATCAGGGAAATCCCTGGGAGTTCCACAGGGGCTCCATTTCTGTTTACTGTTCTTACAGCAGAAGACCCACAGTTTCCATTTCAGGTACTTAACACTCTAGAGCTTCCAGAGCTTTTCTATCAAACAGTGAAAACATCATAAACTCCCCAGCCCTGGCCACAAATTTGAGGCAAACAACCAACCCCAAAGCAGGGTGTGTAATGAATTCAGATCATCCCTTGCAGGTCATGAATAACCAAGTTCAAAGTAAGCAAATCCAGTGATTAAAATTTCTGCCTAGGATATGTTACCAAACTGCAAACATGTTTTTTGGTTTTTTTTTTTTTTTGCACTGCAGTAGGTATTTTTTTATTCCTTGCCAGGATTTTAAAAATCCTTTTCCTCGTTGTTACTGAGGCACACAAGTGAACAGCTTAAACACAGAATTATTTCTACAGTCAGCAATACACTGATGGAAGTCTTATGTATGAGTCTAAGACCCCTCTCAAATTCAAAATCAAAACCTGCCCATACTGCCTTTGCCAGAACCCTGCACTAACAAGAAGAGTCTACAAAGCAGAATAGTTTCCCAACATACAGTCAGCTAAATATAAAGGCTTTCTACTTAAAGTTGATTTTGCACAAGACCCTTTTGCTAAGTGAAAAAGTGCAGCTCTAAGTGCCTTACTGAGTTATCCCTATGAGCAATACAAGGAGCCTGATCCAGGTTTTAAGTGCCTTCAAAAATAAATAAATTAATTAATTAATAAATGGACATTTGGGGCACTGCAACTTAACACTTTAACACTTTGAACACAGACAGCCAGCACCTCCTTCCCTGGGAGAGAAGCACAGATGACCAGACCGAGCCACTTCTGACTACCCAGTTACCATCTATCATGGCCTTCTCCTCGCCAGGGCTTGCCTGCCAAGAGGGGAGCAAAGCTGTTCCTGCTCCTCTGGCCACAGCACCCACACAGGCAGGGCACCAGGAACCCTGGCCATTCTGCAGTCCTTCGTTAAGCACAGGTTTCCAGTGCTGGCTGTTATATTCACAGCTACCTGGTCGTACAAGTGTCTGCCACCAGCTGCAAGTTCTGCCTGCTGGAAGGTAAAAACACAACTGAAGTCCAGATCGCTAAAACAGCGATTAGAGCACAGATAAGGTGACGTCCGGCTGCAGCATATATACATTTTTGTGAGGATTTCCGAGAATGGCAAACGCGCGTCAACAGCAACCCTCCAAGCTGGTCGGAGCGAGCAGCGCTGGCTCCTGCCCCGGTGGCACCACCGGCGCTGTACCGAGAGCTGCGGGATGGTTCTGGATAACATAACCCACAGCCTCGCAGATGCCCAGAAGCGCCTCCCGACTCTTCGGCCGCCTGTGTGCAGCACACACGCAGCTGGAGCTCAGCGTCTCGCACCCCGCCGCGGCTCAGGGCTCCTCCGGCACCGCCCCAGCGCAGCCGGCAGCCCCTCGGGGCTTCTCCCACAGCCGGGGCCGCACCGAGGCCGGGCCGGGGCAGGGCCGGGGCTGGGCCCAGCCATGGCCGCGGCAGCACTTCCTGTGCCGCTCCAAGGGTCCGGCCGCCAGCAAGCGGGGGAAGGGAGGGGAGAGGAGAGGAGGGGAGACGGCGGCAGCCCCGGCACCCCCGGCCCCGCAGCGGCAGCGCCCACCGGGGACGAGCCCGCCCCACAGCAGGGCGGCTGCCGGGGAGGCCCCGCACACACCGCGGGGCCTGAGAGGGCGGCTCCGGCGCACGGCGGGCGCCCCGTCCGGGGCCAGGGAGTCGCTGAGTGGGTGGCAGGCGGGGATCGGGGCCGCGCGGTGGTCGCGGTGCTCGGCCGGGGGTCCCGTCCCGGTCCCGTCCCCCCCCCCTCTCCTCTCACCTCGGACGCTCGGCCGGGCGTTGGCAGCTCGCTGCGGGGTCTCCTCGGCGCGGGCAGCAGGGGCGTGACGTCACCGCGCAGCGCGCGCCGGGGCGGGGCGGGGCGGGGCCGGCTCACGGCGCCCCCTGCCGGCCGCGCCCGCCGCCGCCGGAGGAAGATCCGAGAGCGGGAACAGATTCCAGGGGCTTGGTTCCCAGGGGAATTACCTTCCTCAGGAAACCATTTCTGCTCTCTGACCGAATTCTCCATAAATACTGTGTAAATATATATATATAAAAATATATATATATATATGACCTAGAAAGTGGTGACCTCATCACCACTTTGGGTCATTAGTCATGACCCAATCCGATCACTGAGCACAAGAGCAAGGCTTAAAAGTCGTGGAAAAAGTCACAGAATCAACCAGGCTGGAAAAGACCTCTGAGATCNGCCCCGGCACCCCCGGCCCCGCAGCGGCAGCGCCCACCGGGGACGAGCCCGCCCCACAGCAGGGCGGCTGCCGGGGAGGCCCCGCACACACCGCGGGGCCTGAGAGGGCGGCTCCGGCGCACGGCGGGCGCCCCGTCCGGGGCCAGGGAGTCGCTGAGTGGGTGGCAGGCGGGGATCGGGGCCGCGCGGTGGTCGCGGTGCTCGGCCGGGGGTCCCGTCCCGGTCCCGTCCCCCCCCCCTCTCCTCTCACCTCGGACGCTCGGCCGGGCGTTGGCAGCTCGCTGCGGGGTCTCCTCGGCGCGGGCAGCAGGGGCGTGACGTCACCGCGCAGCGCGCGCCGGGGCGGGGCGGGGCGGGGCCGGCTCACGGCGCCCCCTGCCGGCCGCGCCCGCCGCCGCCGGAGGAAGATCCGAGAGCGGGAACAGATTCCAGGGGCTTGGTTCCCAGGGGAATTACCTTCCTCAGGAAACCATTTCTGCTCTCTGACCGAATTCTCCATAAATACTGTGTAAATATATATATATAAAAATATATATATATATATGACCTAGAAAGTGGTGACCTCATCACCACTTTGGGTCATTAGTCATGACCCAATCCGATCACTGAGCACAAGAGCAAGGCTTAAAAGTCGTGGAAAAAGTCACAGAATCAACCAGGCTGGAAAAGACCTCTGAGATCATCAAGTCCAGCCTTTGACCTAACACTACCTTGCCTACTCGACCGTGGCACTGAGTGCTACATCCAGTCTCTTCTTAAATACCTCCAGGGACAGTGAATCCTCCTGAGCAGCCTATTCCAGTGTCTGATCCCTGTCTCTGTGAAGAATTAGGTGTCCTTTATTTTTGAAATGTATGTTGTGGTGCTGCTGGTGTCTTGGGCTCAGGCTATTAAAATTCACTTTTATTAAAATTAAAATTCCCCTGCCCAACCACCCTCACTTCCTGTCTTGTATGTACCAGGTGGTTGAGAGGAGACTTTGCAAAGATGTGCAAAGTATCTTACAGAATTAGAAAAAGAAAGTTGCATTAAGTACAGAAAATATCAGTTGGTCTCGAGCAGTGAGATCCAACTCAGCACATTCTATGATAGCTCTGTGGTAGCTCCATGATAGTTGCATTTTGAGAAGCGATCTCTTAATGTTTCTTTGGTAATTGACAGTCACTTGTCCAGAAATGGGAGCTTCAAAGCTGCAGAGGTGTTGGGATATATTTGGCTCTGTTGAGTGGCTCCAGGACCCCGGACACCTCCTTTATCTCCAAGAGGGACTCCCATAATGATGGCAAACTTCGTGGGTTTCGAGAACAACGGGAGAAAAAAAGTAAACTTTTCCTAGTTGCACGTTTTTTGTGAGATCATGTGCATGTGCCCAAATAGCTTTGATGATGATCCACCATCCATGGGCAAGGGGAGGTCGGTCACAGGATGCAGTGGCAAACACTCCCGAGGTTTGTGGTCTTTTCAATGCAAGAACAAATTCTTTGCCTTTTGGTTTTCTTTTTTTTTTCTTTTTTTTGGTATAAACTGACCACAGAGCAACAACACGCTGCTTTGGTCTCTATGTAAGCTTTTGAAGTCTAAATAAAAACTTCAGTGTTGCTAATTTAGACCCCTCCACCCTGCACCTGCACCTCTGTGCACACACTGGAGGGCTGCAGGAGCACATGGGGCAGAGTCTCCCTATGTGGGGCATCCCCTGGATCAGTTTCCAAATTCCCCTCAATGTTTTCTTCCTCTTTTTTTTTGTTTGTTTGTTTTCCTTTTCTCCTCTGGAGCTGAAGCTGAAATAAAATGGGCCGAAGAGCCACAATTCCTCCTTGCTGGGAGACTCCTCCTGGCTGGGAGACAACCCCCTGGAAG